GCTGGTGAGCTGTGCAGTACGCCTTGCCATTTGGAGTTCCTGTAAACAACGTATGGGCATCAGAAAGATCCCAACACGCAGAAGACAAGCAGCGCTGCTGCAAAGGAACGGGAGCACAAAGACGTGCCTCCAACCTGTGATGGCAGAGCACAAACCCTCCCGGGCACTGCCCGAGGTGTAATTACTCGGTCCTGCCATAGCACGGGTGTTTTGTTCCATCTACTTGCAGGTGTGGTACATCAGAGAATGCATCTTAGATGTTTCATAGCCAAGAGATGAGCAAGGCTGGATGCATCTCGTGCCAAAAATGGAGTAGTGGTGTCTTAGCGTGCAAGAAAAAACAATTAGCTGTTCCCTGAAGTAGCACTGACCGTTCATCTGTTCAGTATGTTTATGTTTTCAGGAATCATTAGCTGTTAATATGTTCTCGAGCATTTTATAGTCATTACTCAACCTAACACTCTTGTTTCCTGGTGCGGATTTAAGCACTCGAGAGCTATTAGGTTTTCCTTTTTGTTACTGCTTTTCTCCCCATAAACTGATGGGAAGACACTCCCACAGTAATGAAACGGATTGAAAAGCTTCAGTCAGTACCTGAGAGAATGGCAGGGGGAAAACTTAGACCACTGTAAATGTTTTCTGTTACTCTCTTTCTGTTTGGCTTTTTTTTCTGCATGACTTTGTATAAAACTGCTGGGAAGAAGGGTCTTTGTCTTTCTAAAGAGTTTTTCTTATGGAAAAAATGTATTGTCATTAAACATTGTTGGAGGATTGTTTGCGTCCTTGAGGGAGGGATATTTTTAATGAAAGTAGTGCAGGCATCAGGCATCATTAACTATCAGGTGGTCTACCTGTGCCTTTCTGCCTTGAGCAAAAACCTGTTTAAAACAGTAGGTTTATATCTGACGTAGTTTGTAAGCATGTTGTTTGTTGTCTAAATATCATACATCTAAAAATCCTGGGTTTTACTGAACAGTTTTTGGAAAGGCAAACTTTTCTAAAACTAAAGGGATTTTGTGACTCTGCTTCAGTAGTCAGTTCCCTTCACTGCTCAGTATTCCTAAACTGGATTTGATGATACTGGGAGAAGAAAGGAAAATGTTCATGTTCGTTGGCACAGGTATTCAGGGAGTGGGGAAGTCGTTTGAAGCTTGTTGTGTCAACATAGACGGCTCAGTTTAATTTCATGAACATTAAGGCTTGAAAACTTAGAGAAGCCTTTAAGAGACATTATCCAGTTCTTGAGATGTCTTCAACCGCTTTCTTTGGAGTAGGAGAAGATATTAGTGTCGGTGAACTGGTAGCTACTCTTCCAATTTCAAAGGAAACACACAAGTTTGCAGTGTGACTCAGCTTTACAAGAACACCGCTTTAAGCAATGTTAATCCTAGCTGACTATTCATCTGTTTTGTTTGTCTAATATCCTTGTAATGTAGCTATTCCCGTTAAAGAAAGCCAGCATCCTTTGTTCTCCTCTAAGCTACGTAAGACATGACTGCAGAAGTAGTTTGGGGCCTGGAGCTGCAATGACTGAATGCAGCTGGAATGTAATGTGTCACATCTGGTAAAAGGGGAATCGAGCCATAGCTTCTAAAACTCAGACTAGCCCTTTATTTGGGGGGTTGGAACTAAAACATAATTGGAAGGTGGGAAATAAGGAAAAAAGCTTGGTTAGGTTTGAAATTCATACTGCTGATTTTTATTTTTTTTTTAAAGAAATAACTGAAAATATACTAAGAAACCCTGAAGTCTGGTAGATATGTATAGCAACGTTTGCCTTTCTGGGTCAGAAAAAGGATTTTTGGATACACCTGGAAATCATAGCAAATGATGTAGCAGAGCTAAGAAAATAAGTGTCTTTGAGACCAGTGGGAGAAGCTAGCTAGTTAACATCCTGCAGCAAATATGTGAAGACTGCTGGGTTTGTTGTTTTTTTGGTTTTTTTTTCAGCCTTCAGTGTGTACAGCCATTTCCCTTTTGGGTATTATAGTCCTCATTCCTGCCACTGCTTCTCCTGTGCTTATGCAGCTGCGGAGTTACCTGCTTGCTCCGCTTTATGCCGCGGAGGTGATTAATCAGGGGGTGTTTCCCTCTTCCTTGAGATGAAGGGAGCGCTCGGCTTTGGTCCCTTTCAGCATTTTAGGCTGTACATCTAAGTGGTGTCACTGGTTCTGTTTGCTAAGAAGCAGAGGGCATCCGCAGCCTGCTGGGGTTATTAAGACTTGTGGAAGACTAAGTCTTCTGCTTTTAGATGGTAACTGAAGAGAAAAATATTGATTAGTATAAATTACTGGGAGAGTAATTTACAGTGTGTTGAATATTAAAGATGTCAGAGCCATAGCATCATCTCAGTGGCATGCTGGCTCCTTACCTCTGTGTCTGTTGGAGTGTGTAGTAGCACAGCTGCCAAGGTCCCTTTTAAAGTCTTGTGTGTTACAGCAAATACAGGATGATCATATGAATGAGCAATCTTTCTATTGTCTCACTTCCTTGGAAGTTTAAATAGAGACTTAATCCTCTGCTCCATTGTCATTCTCTACCTTCCCATCCCTCTCCTTCCTCTAGTTCCTACAAATAGTCTCCTGAGGTTTAAGTGTGGGGGGAAAGTAAGATTGGCATCTTTAGCTATTAAATGAGGTTAATCAGCTTGGTAGTGGGTGGGAGAAATGTGCTCTGAGGTTAAGAATGTGATATTAATGATTAGCAGGGCCCTTATTATCAGTCCAGTGTAAATTTCCTTCTGTTAGGCATGAACTTTTTAGTTAAAAATTACCTGATTGTTTTATTGTTCCTATAATTAAGAGAAACACAGAAGTTGTGGGGAGGGTGAAAGAAAGGGGATCCTTCTCCTCTTCTGTTGAAGACAGTCTTGAATTTGATGGAAGGGAATTAGGGCTGTAAATCACTGTTCTGCAAAATGCACTTTAACTGGCACAAAGAAAATAGATAGAACTACTGGAATTTCTGCAGGATGAGGAAGGTTAGTCTGAGCAGACTTTGAGATGTGTAATTTTGGCAGCTGCCCAGAATGGCTGAACTGCTAGGGAGGAATGCTAATCCTTTTTGCTAGCTTTTGGCATAGTCAGTAAAAATATGTAGATAGGTTTTCCAAAAATACATCCCTTTTTTGCAGAATGCATAGTGCACTGTGGGGATGCAAATAATACAGCAGGATAACCTGAATGCAGACAGTATTCCTCATTTCAACAGTTAAAACCTCGAGAAGCAGCATATCAATTTTTGCAATGTCTGCTTGACTTCCATCCATAAATGACAGCCTGCTGGCAGAAGGACCAGGAGGAATGATTAAAGCCATGCAACACTCCTTCGGTAACAGAAGGAGACCATCTTTACAGATTGTGAATATAATCGACTGCTTTAATTAATTTCACCTTCTTGACTTTAATATTAAAATCTGAAAGATTAAGTTGCTATTTTTATAGAAATATACATGTAATTACTAGTAAAAAACAAAATAGGTTATGGAAATAAGAGCTAAAACGTTTGATGACAAATGCAAATTTTAGCCTAAATATTTTACTCTGCTTGGCAGCAAATCATTGCTGGTAAAAAGATTCACAAGTCTTCCTGCGTAAATCAAACCTCAGCTGTACGGTGGAGAACTCACACGCCGTTACGTTGGATGTTCCTGCACCACAGCAGCAGGAGAAGAGCGGGTGTAGCCAGCATGTCATCCTGGCAGCTGCGTTCCTCGGGGCGGCTGCTGCTGCGTGACCCCGTAACCCGTTCAGGTGCCTCCGCGCCCCTGAAGACAGCAAACTGCAGGGGCACCGTGCCTGCCCGCGTCCTTCCCTGCTGGAACCATCTGCCCTGGCTCCCGTTTCAGATGGGATTGCATTTGCGCTTTGAGGGCAGAGACTATGGAGTAGCATGGTGATTATGTATGCAAACTGAAAATCAGATGCCTCAGGGGGGATATCCTGTAATCCAGCCATCACCAGATTTCTTCATGGGTTTGAAAATAGGATGAAACAATGTGTTTTGGCAGGTTTAACCTTGCATTTTCAAAAATGCGCTGATTTAATAGATTTTTGGGCCCGTGGTTTGGCATTTTCAGTTAAACTATTAAAAAATGTTGAGGTGGCAACAGAAATGATCGTGATGGTACTTGGAGATTATGTTCACAGGATTGTTTTTAATCATGTGGTGTCCAAAGTTGCTTTTCCAGCGGTGTAATTCCTGTTGTTAGAATACACAGGGCAAGTCTCCTGTGTCACTACTGCCCTTTCAAAAAGAGTGGCACACACTTTACTTTCTCACTCCCTCCACACTCAAACCACATCCACGCTTACGAATGCATATCATCATGTTTTCAAGAACCTTAGTTTTCGAGTTAGCATTGTCAAATACTGGGTTTTGCTCTTGAAGGAGTTTTGGTGCTTAAAAAGAGGAACTGCCAGATAGTTTTACACTTAATACAGTAATGAATTCAAACATAATGATGCTTGTAGCATGAAGTTTAATTATACAGCTTGTAACTGTAATTCCTTTTCTTTTACCCATTCAGTACTGCAGCAGCAGGGTGTTACACCCTGCATTCAGGGATGCTGCCTGAGTACTTGCAGTTGCAGTGCTGAGAAATGACTGAGGCATGTAGGTGATTGAGGATTTTGCTATAGAGTGCACATAAATGTATTAATTCATTGGACCGAACAGATAAATGGTAAGACTGCTGATTCAGGCAATTTACCTTCAGCTGATTCTTTTTGCACTGAAAATTTCCCACCTTATTTGCAACCAAATATTGCATAGGAGAGCAGAAAGAGTACTGATCCCAATTAAAGTGGATTTGTCTTTTACTCTCTTACAAACTTAATGTTACTGGTTTGAGGGTGTACAAGTGAGAGGGACCATCTGCTTTACATTTCAAATAACTGTCATCTTCCTACAGCTCTCAGAAGACTTGTGAATTTGGGGGGGGAAAAAAAAAGAAATTTTTCTCCATAGTTAACACTTTGCCTGCAAATCTTGTCTTTCAGATGGGAAGAAGAACTGACAAGAAGAATGAGTCTGGAATCTATGGTAGAAACCTTGCGAGAGGTAAGTTTTGAATAGCATATACTGAAGGTACAGGTTTTCTCTGCACCTTTTATTATGCTAGCAATTATTTGAATTTGTTTTATTAAAAAACTCTCTTCTAGCTAGCAGCTGACTGCATTGCTGTGCTAGAGGATAGTGTTGATGTTTGGAAGCTGAAGCAGGAAGGTGCTGAATTTTCTGACAAAGTGAAATGTGGGGGTGGTGACGAGCCTTATCAGCCCTGCTCAGGTCAAGTGAGGAAGCATATGTTGGCCTCTTCCCTCTTAGTTCTTTGTGTGCTTTCTCTTGCAGGAGGCGCAGGAAGCGGAAGCTCTCCAGGAGGAGTTAAATGAAAAGATTGAGAGACTGAAAGCAGAACTTGTGGTCTTTAAGGGTCTGATGAGTGATGTAAGTACACTGGAGAGCAGAGTGGCCAACTCCCACTGCCTTTGTGAAATGTGTGTCATGCAAATGGCTTCATTCATAAAAAGGTTATGGTCTTAGTGAGTGCTGCTTTGTAGTTAGCATTATGGCTGCCTTTATGATCTAATGCATCAGACAGATCACCCTTCCCCCTGCTTCCTGTCTGGTCTGTGTAGAGATGCATTAACTTGCTGCTTACCCCATAAGCCGGACTCTTCCCTCCCTTCCCGGTTCTCCACAGCTGGCAGTGCTGGCGTTCAGGTCTGCAGCCGTGGGAAAAAAGTGTTGGAGAACTCACAGATTAGGGTGAAGGGTTCCTCACCATGCAGCACCATATACTGCTAAAAAGGGGGATTTTGTTCTGAGTCACGTTCCAAAAAGGAACGTGTTACATGTGTTTCCCAACTCCCTTTATGAAAGTGCTGAGGAGATTAACCCAGTAGCAATAGTTCAGGTATCTGGTTTTTGTTTCCAGTGCTGCTTCGACCTTTTTTTTTTTTTTAAATACTTTTTTTTTTCACAGGAATGTGCTTATGTCTCATTAGCTATTGAATTCCCTTCAAAGCTGGGGATCTTTCAGGCTATGGCTGGGTAAGACTGTAAGTCTTACATTTAGACATACTGAGAGCATGTATTCATGCAGATATCTAGAAGGATAAACCAGGTGAATTAAGTAAGGTGCCTTCCTCTGTAAGACTGAAGTAGTGCTGATGCCAGTTGTCTAATGAATATGTCCTATTATGCTTATTTATTCTGTAATTTTGTGTAGAACTGTTTCCTTCTGTCTGTATATAAGCTTGCAGAACGAGCTCCCTGGTGTCAAATACATTCTCTCGGGGCCACTAGATCTGTTCATGTGAAATTCTGCAATTAGCTGTCTCTTCTTTTGGTGTTTAATTGAGAATAGGCATGCTTGGTTAGAGGCAGTGTGAAAGGGAGAAACTTGTTAGGGCTGCATCACTGTGATGACTTTTTCTCTGGGGAAGAAATGTTGCTCAGTGTGTACAAAAAGGGTGGTGGTGAATTGGTGAATGCAAACGTCGTCCATACCTTGAGAGAAAGTGTGCTTTGGGCTTTGCAAACTCTAGGGGAGAAGAGAGCCAAAGGAAAGCAGGCAGAATGCTTGTTTTGAATCCCACTGTGTAAATATTTAGAGCAGAGAAATGCATAATGTTGGCATGTGACTCTCGCTTTCCTGTGGGTAAGAATTGCTGGTACCTGTTCAGTTGATCAGATTGTTTAGTGTGTGTCACTGCTTAGAGATTTTTTTTTTTTTTTTTTCCTCCCCCTCTCAGTGTGTTTGGAAAACAAAAGTGTCTAACTTGTCCAAAGGTGGTTGACAGTGGCTGGAGAAAAATAATGTCTAATAATTTAAAAAAAACAAAACAACACAAAACAACCCAAAGCTTTCTTCTTGTAAAGAGGATTTGGTATTTAAGAATGCTCTGCAAAGAGTTACTCTGCTTTTCTGGTCAAAGTGGAAGCATTGCCTGGCCATTGAAGTGGTATTTTCTAAGAGTCTAGGCTAAAATCTCCTCTAGGCTGGAAAATATGCAGTTTGTGGAACAATGTTTCTTCATAAGGAGCCAGCTGTACTGTCTGAGTGGGAGTATCTCTTATAAATTATGTTTATAATTACTGCCCAGAGTGGAGCAAGACAAAATATTTTTCATGTAGAATTTTTGCTAGGCTGAAAGCCAGATTAATGCCAATGAGGATTATTTTCTGTGTTACAAACTTCCATGGATCTCTTTAGATCCAGTCTTGATTTTGTTTTCATGGTATTTATGAAGTTGCTGAGTAGCCTGGATTTTGTTTTAAAAGCAACTTCTCCTTGCAGGCACCGTTTTTCTGTCTGAAAGAGGAGAAGGTGTTGCATACTCACCAGGTGTTAGATTTCATTCTATTCTGCACGTGCTCAACAGGTTTTTTCTCCTCCATTTTTAAAGCTTTATTGACCCATAAAAGTTTACTGTTGCCACATGTAGCAGTTGTTTTGGGGTGGGTATAGGTTTTTCAGTGGCAAATCACTCTGAGTTGAAATTGTATTAGAATCAGCTATGAATGTTAATCGTTAGCTGTCTGGTCTATTTAGATTGTCCATGTACTGCCTTTCCTGGAGGAGATGTAATATTGTTTAAGAATGGTATGCCCTGGGGTTAGAGAGATACTGTGGGGTATCTCTTCTTTCCTGAACTGTATAATAATAGAAGATAATCACTACTGTCCTTCCTGCAGCCCATGACAGACCTGGACACAAAGATTCAAGAAAAGGCCATGAAGGTGGACATGGACATCTGTCGGCGAATCGATATCACAGCCAAGCTGTGTGATGTAGCGCAGCAGCGCAACTCTGAAGACGTTTCCAAGATATTCCAGGTGATTAGGCCATGAATTTTCCATAGGGTAGGACAAGAGGGAGAAGTGTTGAGGAGTATGGTCCATGTCATTTGCCTTTTCTGGAAATTTCTCTATGTAGACCTATCTTCTTCTTTCTCGGTCTTGAAGTGTAGCTTCTTCTGCAGAAGCTGCTGTAGTATTAAGAGCACAAAATTTAGAGAGTTTAAAAAAGAAGTCTCAGGATGACCTTTAAGACATGCTGTTAGTCTGATGCTAGTTTACAATGAAGGCAGGGAAACAAAGCATTACAGGGTCTAGGTTTGTATAAATGGCTTCCTTGCATTTGTTCCCTTTACACAGTGAGAGGTTTTAAACTTGTAGGCCTGTCATCTGAATGTTCTTATTTCTGGTTTGAACTTTGTGGCCAGAAATAATGCTGCTGTGGCGGTGAGCTATGACTGCTTTGTGAGACTAGAAACTCCAGTTGCTCTCCTTAAGCTGTTGTGGCTCCTTGGTGCTGGTAGGAAAGTCATTGAATTTGCTCCAAAAGCAAGCAGTTACAGCTCTGCGTGGAGCAAACCTGTAACTCCCAATGCAGTTGGTCTTCTGTCATAACTGCAATTTCTATTCCGATTAACCCAGCTTGCTTCTACTTTGATCTAAATGTCTCGTTCAGTCTTTCAGTAAGTCTGATGCTTTTCTCTGTAGGGTGAGGCCATAGAGTGTGCTAAATGCTGTACAAAACCACTGTAAAAGATCCTTGTGGTCGCTACTGGTTGTGCTTTCTGGCTATGGTGAAGTTGCCTAAATGTTTGACTTCTTTTTTTTTTTTTTTTTTCTTATGTATCCCAAAAGACTTAAATCTCCTTATGGGGGACAATTATTTTTCTAACATGTTGAGCCATGGCATTGTGCTAGTGGTTCCTTCTAGTCTTTGAGTAGAATTGCGATGTCTTTCTGCTCAAAGGTAACTGCAAAGAGCACTTTTGGTCAAGCATGCAGTGGTTAAAATGATCATCATGGAGAACAAAACCAATAAGGGACGGCTTACGTGCCAAGTAGAGGAAAAACTGCAGTAGGTTGGGAGTAGACTGTGTGTTTGAGACTCTGTGGCACCATCTGTGAATATCTTTTATGTTCACAGTCCTCAGATGAAGAAGTGATCCTTTGCACCCTTTGCAGGGGTATCCCTTGAGTTCTCTGCACGTGTATGAACTTAATTTCTTCAAGACTGTCCAGGCATTTTCATGGTTCAGTTAACCCTTCTGCTGTCAACCTGAAGTTTAGCAGTCTGCCTCTGCTGATGGGGTGGGAATGACCCTGAAATAAAAGCTTATCTAGAAAAGCTTCCTGTCTACTCTTTCGTGGTGGTTCATTGCTGGGAACAACAGCCTGTGGTGGTGGCAGGAGAGGAAGAGTTCTGTCATTGCTCTCGAGCCTGCTGCCTGGGCACTCCTGCCAGCTTATGCTTTTACCCTGTATCATTCTAACCTCTGCATGTTCTCTGGTAGATTATAGACTGATGTCAGTGAGCAGATGAACATCTGTAGAGCGCTGGCAGCCTGCAGCTTGCTTTGCTCTTCGCCGTTCTGAACTGCTTCCTTGTGCTCTGCGTTCACCACTCATTAACAGATGCAATTCCTGTCCTGAATACCAGCAATCCCTGAATTGCCTGGGAACTGATGAACAGTTATATTCGCTCAAACCTAATGGCTCTCCTTTATTTCTGCCCCTCATGGCACAGCACCTCAGTTGAACCTTCTAGTTACTGTTCTTCTCTCTAATTAAGGTGGCGTCCAAGAAGAAGGAACGCAAGCTCCCATCTGACGATGACCTCTCTGAACAGGACGGAGACAATGGCAGGTTCTCTGATGATGAGGTCAGCTGTTCGCTGAACATCACAGATGAAATGAAGCGTATGTTTAATCAGCTGTGAGTATCATGGAAAACGTGGGGAAAACTTATTCTGAAATGCAGACTTAATCCCAGAACTCAAGTATTCTGAAAAGTAGTATTACTTTTTTCCACCCAGTGCTCACTATGAGTTGAACCTGAGCTGCCGGGATGGCACATCCTTGAAGGTTTCCTGGAAGTTCAAATAAAATTAACAGAAATTGATGTTTGTTCCTCCCTTAAGTACTATAGACTTTCGTACCTCACTCAAGGACTGTAGAGAATATAAAAATACAGTAGTAAAACTAGATTGTTTATATGCTGTTGTAACAGTATCAAAAGAAGAAACATGCAAAAAAAAAAAAAAGGTAGAAAACTTGAGTCTGTTCTGTATGTTTTGCTGCATATTAGATTTCTAGAGTTTTGGAAGAAACCTTGCTGCTGCTTGGGCTGGATAGAATTTGGCAATGTCACTGAAAGCTCAGTTCAAAATGGATATAAATTTCAGTAGTATTTCACTTGATTTCTCAGTTGAGCTATAGGCCAATGCCAGTGGTGGATCTGCCCAGAAGTTCAGTTGTAGCAGTGGATGACAGTTTATAGATTCCAAGGATGTCAGTGTTGTAAGCCCTGCTGCAAACTCCGATCTCACGAACTGGAGGAATTGCAACTTGTTTTGCTTAAAGCTTTACCACAAACACGAATCTTAGGAAGCTGTGAAGTCTCTCTGCACCTTGATGCTACAGAAAGCAGTTCAGGAAGCCAGCTGGCAATGTGTCCTGCTGTTCTTCCTTCTGTTCTAGAAATGGACATGACCACAGCCTGGCGAGATTTTTGAGGGTCTCTGCTGTTTTGTTTTTTGTGCCAGAGAAAAGCCTCAGCAAGCGCCATAGGTCTGACTTCCCTAGCATCTGAACATGGGTGTCTTCTGCCAACTTCTGCAGTGACCGCAGGGGGAAGAATTCCCAGTACTTTCCCACACAATGTAGGACAGTATTTAGTATGTAGGAGTATGCAAGAAATTCTCTAAGGAGCTCTAGCTCCTTTTCTGTTGTCAAATGTTGCCAAAAGTTCTGTTTTCAGAATGCGTTCCTCTCTTCTTTCTTCCTGAATTTCACATATAGGAAGCATGGTTTTTACAAAAGTTGTAGGTAACTCCTCTTGTTGGGACTCTTGTTTTAGATGTCTCTAGGCCCTTATTAATATTCCATGCAATAAATACAAATTTTTGACTTCACCGCTAGAATTCAGTGTGACAGCAGATAGTGTGCTTAAAGCAAAAAACGTAGCTACAAGTGCGGTAATGCATTTAGTTTTTAATATTTTTCTTAAACCTGTTCTGTGATACCCAGTTTTTATTGGTGCTGTTAATGAAATTCCTATCTTATTTGGCATCTAATGCTGCAGGAATCTTGTTACATGCTAATTGGCTTGATGTAGAACAGTGTTCATGACTTACTGAAGGTGGTGCATTTCTAAGGATGTCTGGGTTTGGGGGCTTTGTGATGTAGAAAACAAGTTATTCCACTATTTGAAAAATATTATCTCATTAACAGAAACTGAAAGCAACTTTGTATTTTGTCTGTAATGAACTTTACTACTAGACACTGAAAGATTAAGAGGTCAAAATGCAGTCGGCTTTGAGCAGTCTTTGAGCTGCTGGAATAAGCAGCAGTCAGAACTGGGAGCCTTTGTGCTCTCTGGCAGTGATAGCTCTTGCAAAAAGAAACTGATTTGAAGGAGTTGAATTGCAAAAGGCACAATCATGTATGTCCAAGTTTGTTGGGGTTTTTTTAAATTATTTTTTAAAGTCATGCTGAGTATAGACAAATAGCCGGTCTCTCTTGCCAAGCTCTTCAGCCTCCTAAAGACAGTATTGGACTCGGTTTCCGGACTGAGATGTTATCTGCTTAAAAGGAAGTGAACTAAAGTAATAAAAATGCATCAGTCTGAAATTAGCAGACTGCTTCTGGGAGCAATTTCAGATTTTTGTCAGACTTCCTTAACAAGGACAAGAAGCAGCTACTAGTGTTTTGTTCTGCTGCTGTTCAAACCGAAAGGGACTCAAGTGCCTTCTGAAACTTTCCTTTATTGCACAACTGACAGTACTAAAGGGGTTTGACCAAATAACAGTGTCAAAGGCCACTCTTGCCACTGTTTGTTCTCAGTCTTAAGCGGCTGTTGTAGTATCTTTGTTGTTCAAGTCAACAATAAGTATTTGTGCTCACCTGCACATCATTTTGGGGTTCAGTTTTTTTGTAGTTGTTACTTTTGAAAATAATGTTTTTAAGTGCTGCAGGGAAAATGTTGGCTGAACTTCAACATGAAAATCAGCAGGGAGTCTTCTGGTGGCTGTTTCCTGTAAAATTCCTTGAAGTGTGTTTGGGCTCATTTTTCCATGTATGAAAAGAATAGTGTGAAATATTTTTGCAGTTTTGCAAACAGGGGAAACTAATGTGCAGCACCATCTGGAGGACAGAGCTAGGACTGTATACTTGAACCAGGAATGCTAACAAGGATCTTTTATTCTGCTTTGGGGTTGTAAAGAGCTCAGGAACAAGGGACTTGGACAGTGGCAAAGCCTGTTTGTAAAAACTGAGGATTTTCAGCTGCTGCGTTGTCTCCTTCATTCACTTCTCGTAGCCCTTTTTTTCTAGAAGATTAATTAAAGGACTGAGGGAGTTGGGCTGGAGTAGTTTTCACTAATGCTTTGTCTGTTATATTAACAGTCGTGAAACATTTGATTTTGATGATGACTGTGATAGTTTAACATGGGAGGAGAATGAGGAAACGTTGCTTCTTTGGGAAGACTTCACAAACTGCAATCCTTCAATTGACCTCCAAGGAGAGGTGAGTTTATTTCTGTTATTTTCTTGAACTATCCTCTGCAGAAACTGTATTCCTCAGCTGCTCTTTTAGCCATTTGAGCCTTTGGATATTTGACTGGTGATCTAGTTTGCCACGCAAACTTGCTTTGATTTTAAAATCCTCTTAGTGCTTTCTCTCTATGGTTGCTTTTCAGTCTGCAATCAGTTTATTTGCCAAACTTCATTTCTTCTGCTCGTTCAAACTGAGAATTTAAAAGTACCAAGTGAGTGTCAAAAGATCTAATGCCTCTAGCTGCTGTGAGAGCATCACACAATCTGTCACCTTAAGCAGTCCTTTATCTAAAGCCCTATATCTTCCATGCCGCATCTCACTTTCTCTGTAGATTATCATTCACACTTTAATTGTCAAAATAGTACAGTAGTGTGGGGGGATTATCTGTGGAAGATGTTAAAGTATGTATACCCCATCACAAACAAAGAAGCTGTGGTTGCAGGACTCTGTAAGGCCCCAGGGATCTTCAGAACCTGGGAAGCTTGTGCTTCCATCTTCCCAGTCAATAGGAAACTCCTGGCATTGGTGGATGATAAACAGCTTGCTTTTAATCATTAAGATCCCATGCAAAGTAAGCTAATGGCTGCATGCTTCCTTATTCAGTGGCTGCTGAGCCTTTTTAAACAAGCCGAAAGAGTGATTGAAATGGCAAGGCCTGGCTTTGTGCGGGTGGTCTTAAACGCGATGCTATTATTTCGTTACTGAGTAGCACGACAGCAGTAGGTAAGAAATAATCCTGCCTTCTTCCATCATCGCTGTAGTGTAAAGATGCTGAGGCAGCAGTCTCCTGAATATTGTCTTGTGTTGACTGCCAGGGGTGTGTTAATTTACATCTTCCCATTTGTGTATCATCTGGCATACTCTGAAACTGCGGAGATTACTCAGAAGTGCTAGGACTGCAGAAAGCAGCGTACTTAGCTACGTGTCATCTTTTGAGCAGGGAGAGTGGCAGAGTGATAATGTGTAGCCATGTGCTGGAATTAGTGACAGATTTATTTGCATATACCCATGTGTGCGTGTATAAGCACAGCTATCAGAGGAATATTGCCGAATTCAGACTTTCCGTGCAAAAACTCTAAAGGTTTTAAGAAGCTTAAATCCTTCTAAATGAAAATTATAGAAGGGAAGGGTAGATTTGTCTTGTAGATGGAGATTCAGAATAAAGACTGCTCCATCTGTGCCTGGTCTTTAACATAGTGCTTTACATGCCTGAATCTTCCTTCAGCTGGCTTTACTCCTTTCAAGTTCTTACATGGTGCCCTAACCACCTTCTTTTCTGACCTTCCTCCTTAAAGCGCTTCTGCATATAAAAAGGATAAATGGAATGATTCTTGTAGCTATAGGCTGGTTAGCCTGACACTGATAGCAGGTATGATCCTGATAAAGCTGCCACAGATGTGGCCAAAGGATGGAAACATAATTAATGCTTATCAGTGCAGTTGCATTAAATTGATGATTTTTTTTCTGGAAAAAGGGGGTAGGTGATAACATGAAAGAGAGAACAATGACATTGTTTTTGTCTCTTTGACAGTGTGAAATAGTGCTGTATGTTTTGTAGCCCAGACTGCATTGCCAATCCAAAGCAATGATGTTACAGGAGCTGCTGTCTGTCAGGGACAGCACGTGTTCTTCTGTGTGATATTTTCATTGGTAGTGTGCAGGAGTGAGCTTGCTTTACCTAGCAGTTAAGTGAAGAATTCCAGAAGGAAACAATAAGTGCAGAGCATATGTGTGAGGAAATGGAGACTGAAAGGGCTTGAGAGTTATAATATGCAACTGGAAGATGAGAATTACAGTGCAAAGCTGTTAGTAGTGGTGTGGTCAACACGAGGAGGAATTGTTTCATGGCTGGAGAGCAATTACAATCTATCTAAGTGTGATCAGCCTGTGAAAGTTTCAGGAAGATCCATGGTTTTGGTTCTTTGGCATGCATCAGGTATCTGTCTGTGTTTAATTGCTGGAGCCTTGGTCTGTAGGTTCATTGATCAGAGACTTTCTCTGTTGTACAAAGCCATGGTCATTGTTCCATGTGTTTCTCGATATGCCAGTTTAAGAAGCAGAATATCACTTGTCTGCGTAAAAATGTATTAAAAAAAAAAAAACAAACCAACGACAAACCAGCTTTGCATGAAAGAGCATAACAACCTGCATTTCTGAATGAGAATAAATAAGAAAATCTCCAGTCTGCTACTGAATTCCTTATTAGTTTCTGGCTAATTCTTTGTGCTGTCCTTTCCCCTGCAGGAAGAAAACCTGGGAAACTTGATTCACGAAACAGAGTCTTTCTTTAAAACGAGAGACAAGGAATACCAAGAAACAATAGGGCAGATAGAGGTAAAGAATTGGTTCCTGACAGTATGAATTGTTTCGAATGTATGAAAACATGCACAGCATTCTGGTCCAGTATACCCACAGAGGGAAAGATGGAATGTCTATATATCTGAGAATGCAAAGGCGTTTTCCTTTGACATACCCTTGGGATTTTCTCTAAATACCATTCTCTATACAGCACTGTTACTGAGTAAGCATAAATCTGTAGCTGATGGAGAGAGAACCTTCAGAACAAAGAGAATAAAAAGGCACTATTATTCTTTTCCCCCTATTTGCCTTGCATATCCACTGTCACACTGGGAAATGCTTTACAAGACATGGCCTTAGAGGTTGCCAGACACAACAGCTGTAGCTTCTCAAAATCCTTGCCCTGCCTAGAATGTGCTTTCATTAATTACTGCATGTTGACAAACAAGATGCCAGGCAGCATAAAAAAACACGAGAGCTGATTAAAGTACACTTCATGAGCTGATGAATACATTGGCAGTATACAACTCTGAGGTTAAACATACATTGTGCGGGTGTTTTGGTTTGGCTCCGGGCAGCTTTAACATCGCCACCAGTATGTAAAATGGGGTGAAGCTGGGAGAAGCTGCTAGGTACTTACCTTTAGGCTGATTATTTTCTCTTATTTCTTACAGCTGGAATTGGCCACAGCCAAGAGTGACATGAATCGCCACCTTCATGAATATATGGAAATGTGTAGTATGAAAAGGGGCCTGGATGTACAGATGGAAACCTGTCGTAGGCTTATCAAAGGCTCAGCTGACAGGTAATGAGATATTACTATGCTGCCTGGGGTGCTTCAAGAATTTATTTTGCCCTTGTTTTCTTCCAGGTTGCTTTAAAGGCAATAGTATCATTTTGTCCTAAACTTTGTCCTTTAGCTAACCTCGTTTTGTTCAGGGTCAAGTGTCAGCCTTAAAAGGAACCCTGTTAACAGTGTATAGGTTCCTACACACAGTAATGCTTCTAAGGATTCAAGACCTATTGGTAAAACCAGGGGTCTTCAACTTGGACAGGCATTTAGTCTTAACGTCATAGATCTAGAACTCTCAAACAAAAGCCCAAATTAAATATTGACTGTGGACTTAGTTAAAGAACTTGGTTTTTAATCTTCTCACGTGTTAAGAACCCTATACTGTGAGGGATTTTTCATATCTCTTGCTCACCCCAGTACACATCCTAGCTTAAAAGAACAAGATAAATTTTTTTGAGTTTTCAAGACTCTACATATTAGGGATGATGAGAGTCTCTGTAGCATGTTCATTGGACTTAGTGTCCATTTCCCCATCAGTAAATGTAGGGCAGTCTTTGTGTCTGTAGAGGAGATGGCAGGGGTGGGGGTGGCAGCACATGAGCTGCTTAGGTTTACTACTGATATTTACGGTAAACCCAAAGTTTAATGTTAAATGATATTTTAAATTGTTTTGGGAAGTGAAAGTGACCGTTTTCTTTAAAGGTTCCTTTTTTTTTATCTTCTGTCATAGATATTTAAATTTTTGTCTAAACCTTTCTCTGAATTTTTCTATAGAAATTCTCCATCTCCCAGCTCTGTAGCCAGCAGCGACTCAGGAAATACAGATGAAATTCAGGACGAGTTGGACAGAGAGACGGATGTGGAGCCCATGGTCAGCTGATACGTAGTTGGAGCATTCTGGTGAAAGGGAAGATTCAAGAAAAGATTAAAAAACAATACACTGATGGGGGGAAAAAAGAAAGACTTGTAAGCCCTTGCACAGGGTTTCTAAGGACTCATTCCTACACGCATCCCCACCCCACCCAAGGATTGGTGCTGTAAATTTCTATTGTTATACAAATCATAAATGCAGAGTCCTGTAAGAAAACACGGTTTTAATTGTGCCTTTGCCCCAAGCTGAGCCACTTTGAGCTCCAGTGGAATATTAATAGCAGGTGTTTTTATAAAAAATATTATTTAAAAAAAATCTGGTAGCAGCAGAGAATGGTGCTGCAAAGGCTCTGGGTATTTCAATAAGCTTATGGTTTTATTGAACTGCTGCACTGATTGGCAAAGGGAATGCTGGCAAACTGAGAAGCAAACCCAAGGCAATTATGGTACAATTACCAATGTCTGGCACAAAAAACAATGCCTCCAAATTGAACTGTAAACATTTAAAAATAATAGCGGGTTTAGAGACAGCTTTTAGGATTAAGCAGTTATACAATATTAAAAGGAATTTCTTCCTTCCATCTTTCTGGGTGAAGGAGCCTTTGAGATTTCTATGAGCTTTCTGCTAGACTCCAGAATCTGAAGAAGCAGGTCTCAGCTCGGTGGCAAAGCAGGTGGATAAAGGAGGGTTCAGTGGGGTGGGACTATCACTGATAAACTACTATGCAAAAAAAAAAAAAAAGCTCGCCTTATTTATATGGAATGTTTGGTCCCTGCTGGGCTACAGTTATCTCTTGGGGAAAGGAAAGCTAAAAACACATTTGCACATGTTAGTTATCTGTAGAGCTTCTTTTGAGGAAGAATGTCTGTATTACAATGCCTTTGTTTCCAGTGATTGGATTAAGAGGGGAATCGGCCCTTCAGTTCCCATGTTTTGTGGTTTCTTTTTTTCCCAGGATTTTTTTTTTTAAACCATAGTGTTTGCAGATTTTATTTTGCTGACAGGGAGATAACTCCATTTTATGCTGCTTTCATGATGTTTAGAGTGGAATAGTTGAAGCATCAGAATATACTGACATGTGGTGGTATAGATGTAGGCTTGAGACATGACACTGGGAGAGTTCCAGACCACTGTTCTTCAGAACAGCTGAACATTGGAAAATACTGTAATCTTTTTTAGGGCGTAGTAAAATAAATCCCAAACTGCTGCCCTAGAATTAGGGAAGAACAGCCATGTGCTTTCTCTGTGAGAAAGTGAGAAGACCTAGGCTTTGTCAATCTTTCTGTATTTTTACACAGGAGAAAGCAGGATCAAAAGTCAGATCACTTGGTGGTATTTGAGGAAACTCTGGCATCATCAAGCTGTTCATGATTATTAATGGGAATTGTAGCACCTCAGCCAGGTAAAAACAGGGTATAAACCTCAGCCAATAATTTTTTGTTTGTTTGTTTTTTTTGACCAAGATTGAAAGTGTTGTTAATACTGCCTAAAGGTAACTGTGTAGTTAACTAGCAGTTGCAAGACTTGGAGTAAATACCAAATGTATTTTTTTTTCCTGCCAGGAAGCTTAGAAACTGCTATGTAGGAGCAGTGCTAGGACTGGGCAGTGAAATACCTGATTTAAGCACCCTCTCAGTGTTATGTATAGGTAAGCTGGCCAATCTTTTTAGCTTCCTGAGTATTGTTTCCAAGCCTCTCTTGTGTATTGATCTGATATCAGTGGGGTTGCACTGTAAGCATACAGCCAGTATAGATCAGTGTTGCTTTCTTCCAAAAAGAGCACAATTGTCTCAGCAAATGGCGTGTTCCTGGGCAGAAATGCCTCTCCGTCTTGTGCAGCTACGCAGAGGGGCAGGACCTCAGAGGGCTCCTGCTCACACCGTAACTCTGGGTACAGTAATCTCTTCTCAGTTCGAGTTTCCTGTGTTGCTGCCTGGAGTCTCATCGCTGTTCAGGTCCATCTCCTGCTTGGACATGATGGTGCTTTTAGGCCACGCGAATCAAACGGGCTCCCTGTGTTTTACAGAGTGGGGAGGGGTACCGGGCTGATCCCTCTGGATCCACAATGTGGAGGTCACGATCCACAATCGGTGGCTTCTGCCCAAGAAAACAGATCCAGGGATATTCTTGTGGTTTCCTCGCTGATTGAAATACTCAGTGCAGTTATTCACAGAGTAGCTAGCAACTTCTTGGTTCCTGTGGTGGGGGTTAGGGGCTTTTTCAAAGCCTGTTTCATCATGTAAATGTAGATAACTTTTCTCTGGAAAAGAAACCTTATTCCAAAGTGCTCATTCCTATTATTTCTTAGGTGGCCAAAGTGGTTAAAGTCATGTTCACTAGGGCTGCAAGTTGGGGGGGGTGGGGGTGGGAGCAAGAGATGTGATATTTTTTTGAGGGGGCTGGGACTGCATGTTTTCAATAAAGTACTCTTAAGGTTTTCAAGCCTGTATGAACTTCAGCTGCTAATACGTGGTTTCTCACGAGGCTGAGAAACCATCTGCCAAAGCTGAATGTCTGTAATGCTTTAGTGACTTTGGTGGAGGCATTGTTAAACAATCTACTTGCACAGGGAGCCGGCCTCGTCAGAGGCTGCCGTTCAGCTCTCCTCAATTATGAAATGCTCTTTGGTACTGGAGAAACTGAGCAATTTTAACAGCCGTCCAGCTTAGCTGCTGTTTTGTTTTGTTTTTCTTTAAAACTCAGTGTCCTAGTAGGAAAAAGGCTGAGTGTTCTTGAAGCTAGTAGCTGGTATGTTGAGGATAGGACAGAATATCCTCAGTTTGACAGTGAGAGCCAAGTGAAGAAGCAGAAATTCAGCTGTCAAAACAAGCTAGCTGTAACCTACAGTTTGTCATAGCCATAATTGAGGAGCATCTGTAATAGGGTTGTATTTGTTGATAAGTATAAGGGATGTGGGGCTATAGTAGAGGGCATAGAAATAATGTGTACGATGGTGATATGTATGACAGTAAATTACCATGGTGGTTGGTGTCTGTTTCTTATAAACATATGTAATCCATTTTTAAAGAAGAAAAGGTGTTTTCATACTTGGGATTGGGGTTTTATTTTCATTTAAACTGTATAGGACTTGGTAGATCAACCTGTCAGGAGTTACGAGGGTTGGTCCTTGGAAGTTTCCCTAGGAGGTCTTTGGTTTAGTTTCAAGCCATGCTGCTGATTTAGCTGACAGTGGTCCTGTTCTGTTTGTGTATAACCACTCTCTAGAAACCAGATCAAAAGCTTGCCAGAGAAAAAATTGTGGAAATGCTGGAAATGATTTTGATGACCTCTTCCTTTTTCCTTTGTAAAGCTGTAAATACTTTATTTTTGTTTTCTATTCTTAATGCGGTGTCATATTGACACTTTTTTAGACTTACAATCAGAAAATCCTCCTCATTGTTTTTCATTTTTTAAAAGGGGATTTCAAGGAAGCAAATTTTTTTGCTTGTTAGCAGTGTAATAATAGATCAAATTCCTAAAATGGGTTTGTACAAAACATGTTTTCAGTAAACAAATGGCAGTTGCTTTTGTGGATGCATGTTCAAAAATGTCCAAAGAATGATGTGGTACAAACACTTTTTCAAAGACTTAGTAATTATCATATTAGTTCACAGTGAAAAAACAAAATTGTTTAAAAAAAAAAAAAAAGTGGGGGGAAATGTAATGAAACTCATTAAGCTAAATGTGTAATCTATTTATAAAAAACCACAGTATATATTCTATTTTTATTAGAGGTTTTTAAAATGCAGACAGAATTCTGTTAGCAAATGCAGATATTCCCTTGTAAATTATCTTCTGCTCTGATGGGACTCCAAATTCTCCAGCAGTTGCAAGTGACAACACGGGAACAACCTAACAGGTCTGGCTGTGAAGCACTCGCCCTTCGCTTCCTCGCAGCAAGAGAGGGGGGAAAGCAAAACAGGCTAACAGCTTTTCTGTGACTGCAGAATTGTTGTTTTTTCCCCTGTTTTGTTTTGGTTTTTTTCTTCCCCTGATTGTAAGGCATCCTGCTGCAGAGGGTAAGGCCCTCAGTTTGCTCCCCTAAATACCAGGGGTGATTGCAGCACCGGAATGTTAAAATCTGCCCCAGAGTGGGTTTTGTGTTCTACCTGGTTGGAAGATAAATTCTGTTTGTCTACACCGGTATAAATTGGATTTAACTTGATGAAACAATAGATCAGAATTGTGCCTGAATATCTAAAGCTGCTTCTAATACAAAATTTTTTTCTTTTTTTTTTTTTTTTTTTCTTGCAAAACCATTCCTGCCAGCAAAAATACAACTTTGGTCATTGGCCCAAGGTTGGCTGAGGAAAAGCCACGCGATCGGTGGGTGCTCGCAGCCTTGCCACAGCGCTGCGGTCTTTGTAAAGCAGCTATTTCCTTTTGTTTCCCTTGGCTGTGGAAAAACGTGGAAGAACATTTGTGTTGGAGCGTGCGAGGAGAAGAATTGCAGTACTGGGAAGTCTCTGATTGTGTTTCACGTTTGAGAGTAGTTCATTTTAGAGCTGAATGTTTAAAGCATGATTTATCACAGCAAAATTAAGAAGTTATAGTGCTTCCATGGTGTAATAATATCCTGATGAGGATTTTCCACATTTTGCTTCAGGGCTTCTGTTTTTTTATTCTTTTGCACTGGTCCAGGACTTGGTTGCAGGGGAACACGCAGGTTTTAAAAATCTTTGCCTTCAGTGTTAAGTCACCGAAATGCTTGATTTTAAGCTTTTAGTAGAATGTAACTTCTGTCAGTTTGAGTTTTAAATGAGAAAAGAAATTGCCAATCAAGGCAATACGTAGTATCCTGGTGTTAATAATGCTGGTTTTAGAGGTGAACTTGGAAACACTACCTGCCAAATTCTTAATTCAGTCCCTTGCCAACCTGTTTCTGGAGAGGGGAGCACTGAAGGCTTGAACACAAGTCTTTGGCAGAGTAGTGAAGAAACACTTGATTATTTCTTTTTGTCTGTTTTTATGTGTAGTTCAGTGTCTGGAGACCCTTCCGCATTTGCGGGAGCCTTTCAAAGCTTCTCTTTTGAAGAAGCAACAAATTGTGTTTAAGAAGTGGGTATTGGATGCTTGTAGAAATGACAATTCCCTCCTAATTTCAGGCACTCCAACAGTGAAGCACCTCTGTAAGCAGAGGAGGTGCTCGCAGGTCTGGCTGGCTCTGTCTTGGGAGGAAATACTGATGTTAATAATATATAAAACAAATCCTGGGGTGGCTTTAAACCTGCATCACTTCCATGGCAAAACACCCCAGTGTGCCACAAACCCAATGCCCATGGCTCGTGGCCTGCCCAAACTGCACAGATTTCATCTGAAATCCTAAAATTTCTTTTTTTATTAGAAAGGATTGAGGATGATTAAGAGCTTGGTCACTAGACACACTTCTTGTGTAACGTGGTTTCACCAAGAGACATGCAGTTCTGTCCTTCAAACACCTTACTTGCGGCTAAAGTGTACGTAGCTGAGTTCTGCCAAAAATGATTATTTATTATTTAATGTCTTTAAGTGGAGGGTATCGATGACTCTTTCCCCATGCTGTGTCACTTCTTGTCAGTTCCTCTTAGGTCATGTAAGAATTTCTTTTATACACATTAAAACAGACTACTGATCAGTGTGGAAATGAACCTGTTTACCGTACTGTTGTAAATATTGTGCTTTATATTCTGTATATTAGCTTCTTTTCAAGAAAAAAGACTGAACTGATGATGCTATTTGATCTCTGGTGGGGAAAGGACGAAGGATGAACCAGCTCCCAAGCCTGCTCCAGAGTTGAGATGTAAATAGATTCCTCTGGGGCTGGAAGTCCTGGGGATTTGTGGGCAGCCCCCGTTGTACATGCACTTACCGGCGGTGGATTTTGGACCCTCAAAGGCTTCAGCAATCTAACCCGCACGGAGAAACGCCCGCGGCGAGAGCCAGGAGCATTCCTGCCCCTCTGAGTTCCACCGGCTTCTCTCCATTTCTCTTTTTTAGTGCCAAAACCAGCCCCATGGCTCTGCTCTCCTAGCCCATGTCCGTCTGTCCAGGGCCGTGCTGCCTCTCCCAAGCTGTTCATCCTTCAGCACTTGACCCCTCGCTCGATACCCCCGGGCTTCTCCCCGCAGTGGGGGTGTGCGGGAGCTTGGTGATGAAAACGGGTTATGGTCATTCTCTGGTTACAAGGAAAAAAAAAAAAAAAAAAAAACACTACAAAATAAATACCAGACTCCTGGTTAATGCTTCTGTGTATTAATTCTTGGGTTGGACACCACTTTTATGGGCAAAAGCTGCTTGTGCATTTGCATCTGAGGAGGGGGAGGATCTCCCTGGACCCCCAGCCCAGGTGTTTTGGGGTCCCCAAAATACTCCACGGTCCCCTAAAAATTTGGACTTTGCAGCTGCCCCTTTTAAGGCGCTGCTGTCCTTTTTGCACCCAGAAATACCCCATGCCCACCCCAGCCTCCTGGCCCTGGAACCTCATTTTGCATTAAACCCCCCCCTTTTTAATTAATTTTTTTTTCGTTTTTTATTTCTTAAAGGGGACCGAAGCAGCTGCTCCAGCTCCCCTTTCTCTCCCCATTTCCGCTCCGAGCCTGGGAACCACCCCGCACAGGAAAAAAAGTTGCTGCTTTTTTTTTTTTTTTTTTTAATTAATTTCCTTTTTTTTCCCTCTTTATAGCTCTTTCCACCGGCCCCGCCTCCTCTCACGTGCTGCGGCGCGCGGCCGCCCCATTGGCCGGGCGCAACCATCGCTGCGGGGAGGGGCGGGGGAGTGGGGGCGGGCGGGGACACCCCACTCCCACTGGGGAAGAGGGGGAGGGCGGGCCGGGCCACGCCCCGCAGCCCCACGCACAGCGTGCGGGGCCTCTCCGGCGGCATCTCCCTCCCCTTCCCCCTTTTTAAAGTTATTATTTAATTTTATGGTTTTGTTGTTTCCCCCCCCTCGGTGGTGGTTCGGGCACGGCCGGGATGTGGCGGGCGCTGCGTGGGCTGCGGGGCGGCGGGTGAGTGCCTGGGGGTCCCCTTCCCCACCCCACTCCCCCGTCCTTGGGGGGGAAGCAACCAAACCCCGGCAAAACCCCGTCCCCCAAAAACCCCACCCGAACCCCCCCCTTGCAGCATTCCCACGCGTGGCGGGTGGGAGACACAGGGGCTGCAGGCTCAGGGGTGCAGCTGCCATGTCCCCCCGCGCCCCCTTTTTGCTGCGCGTTGCCTTTTGCTGGCCCAGCCCTCCCTTCTTGCTGAGCGCCTTCCCCAAGCTCTTCCTCCTCCTTTTCGCCTTTTTTTTTTTTTTTTTTTGCCCCTTTTTGGGGCAGTTTCGTGCTCGGGGTTGGGAAATGCCCGCCCTGAAGCTGCCAGGGCCCAGGGGCTTGCTGGGGCAGAGCGAGGCCAGCCCGGCTTTTGCCCCCGCGCCCTGGACTTTGCCAGGAGCGCGTCGGGGTGTTGGAGCAACCGGCATCGATTCGCAGCGTGCCCTGCACCTCGCCCCGTAGAAAGTCCTTTTAGGTTTTCTTTTTTTTTTTCATAGTAAGAAGGGATAGTTGGCTGGGGACTAGGTCCAGGCTCATCTCCCGGCTGCGGGATCGTCACCGGCGGGATAACGCGGGGCCTGGGGCGTGCGTGGCTGGTTTGGGGTCAGGCTGGGAAGTTGGGGTGCAGAGGGAAGGACAGAACAAGGTGGGGTTCAGCTCCTGTCTCGCTTCTCTCCCAGGAGGAGATGGCAGCACCGCTCGGCCCTCGAGGTGACCAACGAGCCCATCCTCGAGTTTAAGCCGGGGAGCCCCGAGCGAGCAGCGCTTCAGCAGGTACCGCCGCAGGGGGTTGGGATTTTGGGGCGTTTGTTATGTCCCAGTTTGTGCTTCTGGTGCTGGTGCAGCAGCCCCGGGCTCTCCCCCAGGGTGGGGGGGAAGGTCCTGCCCAGCGCCCGCTCCTTCCCTTTGGGGACAGTTGGAGTTGTAACTGCAGTCCCCATCCCTCCAGCCCGCGGGCACCCCAGGGGACCGAAGGAAGCCTGTCCCCCAGTTGCCCTTTGCTGGTGGAGGTGGGGGTGACTGGTGGAGGTCTGTGTGTGCAGCCCCCAGCGCCGCGCTCTCCTCCTCTCACTTAGGCGCTCGCCGAGCTGAAGGACAAGACAGAAGCCATCCCGTGTGTGATCGGGGGAGAGGAGGTGTGGACGCCGGCGGTGCGGTACCAGCTGTCGGTGAGTTTGGGGGAAAACTCATTTAACGAGCGAGAACGGAGCAGGGGGATGCAGCCAGCAGGAAGGGGATCTGTCAGACTGATAACTGCAGAGGACTTTCTTCTCTTTTTCAGCCATTTAATCATGCGCACAAGGTGGCCAAGTACTGCTATGCTGACAAGGTGAGTGCGTGTCACTGCCAGCCCCTCTTCCTTTCATTTTTTTTCGGGGAGGGGGGAAGCGGCAGCACTTCGCCTGGGTTTAGTGAACCTTATCCTGCAGCGGGGTTGTGAGGCTCGCAGCGTGGCGCAAGGGGAGAAGTGTGGATGAAACGCAAATCGCTGCTCAGATCGTGAGCAGGGCAGCTCCGGGGACAAGTGTTGGCTTTCCAAGTCCCAGGGATCCTGGAATAAATCGGTACTGGGAGCTGCAAATTTGGGGTTGTGATAGGAAGGTGGCTGCTGTGGTTTGTGCCTGGGGGTGGATGGCCCCTTGCTTTCCCCTCCAACCTGGTGATGGAGAGGTGGTGGGTTCCTCCTTGCTGCCTTTCCCCTTTTCTTCTGCAGGAGCTCATTAACAAAGCCATTAAAGCTGCCTTGGCAGCAAGGAAGGAATGGGACCTGAAACCTGTCCAGGACCGAGCCCAGATCTTTCTGAAGGCAGCTGACATGCTGAGCGGCCCGAGGCGAGCAGAAGTGCTGGCCAAAACCATGATTGGGCAGGTAATGGGGACGTGGGATTGACCTGGCCGATAGCTGGGGTGAACAGGAGGGAATCTGGGGAGCTGGGAGTCGAGGAAGCAGGGCTGGAAGAGCTGCCAAGGTATTTTTTGGCAGTGGGAACAGCTACAGAGGTGCCTACAGCTGTGCTGCGAGGGGGTACAGGCTGATCCTTGCCTCTTTGCTGGGACAGAAGGGAGGCGAGGCTGGGAGTCAAGCAGCACGGGAACAGCATCAGCTCCTGTGACGGGCTGCGATCGGCAGGCTTTGCCCTCACGGAACGCCCCGGCAGCCCTGGGGGGAGGCACTAAAGGGCAGTGGGGGGGGCACACGGGTGGATGTGGTGTCTCCTGGCACTCCTAGGCTGCGTTTGCTGCTGCTCGGTGCGAAGGAGACGTGGCAGGACGGGGCTGCACTTTTCGGAAGCGAGCAGAGAGGCAACCCGCATCCCCCCCGCGGTGGCTGCCTCCCCTCAGGGCTTTTATTTGCTGTGACCTCTCCCGGCAGGGTAAAACAGTCATCCAGGCTGAAATCGATGCTGCTGCGGAGCTGATAGACTTCTTCCGATTCAATGCCAAGCACGCCCTGGAGCTGGAGAACAGCCAGCCCATCAGCGTGGGCGACAGCACCAACAGCATGGTCTACCGGGGGCTGGAGGTGAGGGGCTGTCCCCCCTGCTCCTGGAGCTGCCTTTTTTTTTTTTTTTTTTTGCCCCGAGCTGCGGTGGCACGCCACAGCGAGAGGGAGCACCCACCGGTCCCTTCCCTCTCCCACCCGCAGGGTTTCGTGGCCGCCGTCTCTCCCTTCAACTTCACGGCGATCGGCGGCAACCTGGCAGGGGCCCCGGCGTTGATGGTGAGTGTCGTGGTGGGGATTGAGGAGCGCGAGGGATGGAGAGGAGTCCGGAGAAAGGCTGGGGGGGGGGGCACCCCCTCTTCAACGCCACGGTTTGCCTGGTCTGGGATCCCCCAAGGGGCGAATTTGGCCTCCCTGGTTCTTTGGTGCCATTCAATAGGACACACCTGGGGTCCTGCTTCTCTTGGCCCCCTTGATTTCAATCAGCTGCTTTGCAATTAGGCACAGATGTCTTTAATTACAAGAAGGTGTGCTAGTGGCTGGATTTTAGACCTGTCCACTGATGGACAGGTGTGATGAGGGAAGCGTTGAGAAAGGAAAAACTGTCCAAACCTGCTCTTTATTCTGAAGCAAGGTGTCTTTTCACACCTAGGCTGGGTTTGAGATCGAGAGAAGGTCAGGGTGCTGCAGGAGGGAGGGGAGACAAGCAATACAGCGGGGTTTTATTTTCCTGTGGGGTGCTTGCTCTGTGAATGAGGCTTCAGGTTGCTGTCACGACACCTTGCTCGGTTTCCTTTTGGATGACACTTTTTGGGTACAGCAGGTGCATTAGGATGAAGGTGGGAGAGAGCAGGTCGTGGCACTGGCATTTAGACTGAAAAGGAGATCCTGGCAGGCATGAAAGATGGTCCAAAAAGTCCAAATATTGGCAAACAGCATTTCTGTATGTGTCCCAGCCCAGTGTGCCCGTCGAGCACAGGAACCTTTGCTGGGTGGGCTTTGGGGACAGACTGATGAATTTGGGCCAGGATTAATTATTTTACTGTTACACTGGGGAAAAAAAAAAAACCACAAAATTGTCCTAACATCTTTACTAATTAGGCTCAGTTTTCATCCTGGCACCAAAGGCAGCCCCTCCAGCTGTAGTGTGCTGTGTTGGAGGTGGAAGGGACTGGCATAAGGGACGACAACACCAAGTTTTTAAATTTGGGGACGTCGCATTCTAAAGCCTTATTCAAGGCGAAGCATTTGAACCTGTCACTTGGGTAGGGGAGGAGTGGGGAGAAGGAAGGAAGAAGGCGAAGCTAATGCAGAGCTGGGAGGTGTTTTGGGGGAGGGAGACGCGTTCCTCCCACCCCAGGATTTGAGGAAGATCCTCGACTTTGGGGCATTTGGTGATAAAGTCACCCCAGAGCAGACAAACACTGCTGGGATGGGGCAAGCCTGTGCTGGCAGGTCTGGGCGAACTGTTTTGGGCACCCTGCAGCGCATCCACCTCTCCCTCCTTGATAAATTCCCGCCGGGCTGCTGCAGCGTGATGGATCCCCCCGCTCGCCCTGGGCCAAAAAGGAGCAGGGCGTCAGCGGGTGGCTTGAAAAGCTCAGCAGCAGGTGGTTCCTGGAATTAAATTTAGGAGAAAATTGTAGTTAATAAGTAGATATTAATTAGAGCCCCAGTGTTTTAGTCACCACAGTGTGCTTCCCAGGGGATTAGACGTTGCTCTTGCCTAAACAGCTGGAGAGATCAATGCGGTTAATGCCGCC